TGCTGTTTTTTAACCCGCTGCGCCACCAGGGAGGGCCATCTTGACAGTTTTTAAGGTCACCCACACACTCTATATCATGGACAGATCCAGTCCTCACATCATATCATCCATACCACCGCCTTCTACTGTCTATGCTCCCTGTAATTATATTGGCCCAATGTGGATAAATGGAGGTAATTTCCTCATATCAAGAACCTTAACTTAGTCATACCTGCAAAGTCCCTTTTGCCATGTAAAGGAACATACACTCTCACAGATCCCACGTTTTAGATTCTGTAGCTGGAGAAAGAGGGTGTTATTTTACCTACACTGTGTCTTCTTCTAAGTCAAAAAGAAACCATCTTACTTTTTTTTCCCTTATTATGCTTCATGTAATATTGAAACTTATTCAAGGTCATAAATTATACTGGAAGATATAAACATGTGTTTTGATAAATTTTGAGGTTTCTCACATTTTAAAATATGCCCTTGAGTATCACTGGGGTATGATGTTGAATGATTTTTTTAAAAATCATTAAACAAATACAAAACTTAGTAAACAACATACATTTAAACTTAAAGAGGAAATCTATTTTTTCCTAAAAGGGAAAAGGTATAATCATATGTTAAATTGCTTTAGGAAATAATGCATCTCACTGTAAATAGTATAGAATGAAAAGCTAGATTTTAGTATAGCATTTCACTTTTTAAAGCTTTTTTGCTAAAAAGGTATACTTTCAAAAATAAAAGCATGCCTAATCATAGACCAACTCTCTTCTCTGCCTTTGACTTGACAAAAAAGTTCTTTAAGTGTTTGAATTCCTTTCTGTAAACAAAGACCAAAGCCATAATTATCTTTGACAGATTCATGAGGTTTTGTTAATTGAAGTTTGTGAAGAGATGTCCTCTATAAGAAGCTGTATTATTATTCCTTTGTAACATGCACATTTCACATAGACATATGTCATGCTGATAGAAACTGCTGTGATGATGCCACAAATGGAACTAGCAATTTAAATGGACATCAAGAGACCAGGTATTAGGCTGGATATTTCTTTTTTCACTCAAGCATTACTGAAGACAATGACTCTACTTGGAAGAGTGTATTAGCAAGGAATTACGTTGAGTTTATTTTTCTCATTAAAATTTCCTGGAAACAATTCATAGCCTCAAGAACTATATCAGGAATAGTCATTATCATTCTAGAGAATAATCATCAGCAAAATTCTATTTTTTTTTTTAAAGATTTATTTATTTGTGCATACAGAACTTGGGTACAGGCCAGAGGCTCAGGGGCGGTGAGAGGCTTCACCAGAGACAGAGTGGGGAGCAGAACAGGCAGATGGACGAAGTACACTGCTGAGGGGAGCAGTGGGCGGGTCAGGAGAGGTCTGCCTCGCCATGTGGTCACCTCCGGGGCAGGCGGGAATCGAACTCATGCAGAAGTGGCTTCAGATTCTCAGTGCTGTGCTTTAACCCGCTGCGCCACCAGGGAGGGCCAGCAAAATTCTATTTTCAGAAAAAAATTGATAATGGCTGTTAGTAAAATAAGTTCCTGAAAAGTTAAACAAAACATTTTATTCTAATTAACTGAACAATAATGCCCCCAAGAAGGAGAAAGAGGGACACAGATACTGCGCATTCCTGCTAGCAGTAGGAGCCAACCCAAACTCTGCCCATGCAATTTCTTAATGACACAAGGGAAATGGCTAAAACCACAGTGGAAGTAGAAAATGCCTTTAGTAGTTTCTATTATAAACTTTTCACCTCATGGAGAAACGACTAAGCAAATAAGAGTGTTATGTGCTCCACTTGCTTCCTTGCTTCATGTTGGTCTTTGTGTATCTTCCTCCTCTTGGTTTATAGCTCTACTCTTGGTCTGGAGTTTTGAAACAGGAGCTTCTTAATTTTCGATTGCCCTCTAGTTCTAGGTGAGATGTATTACAGATATAGGTAGAGCTGAGCTGAGAGGGTTGTCTGTTGTAAGGGAAGGGAAAACATCCTTTTCCACTAGTTCTTTTAGCAGTTTGAACATGGAGGCATTAGATACTGTTAATCAGTGTGGGCATATAGAGACTCAATTTACAATGTTATACATAATGGGTCTGTCATTAGAGAATGATTTATGACTTGTTTTTACCGCCAAACAAACATATTTGTTGTTGGTAGCCTATCATTCAACATTTTATAGTCTCCTTATTGTTTATACTGTAAGACAATATGCTTATTCTTACATTTCTGCTCTTGTAATTCACCTTCCCTTCTGTTGCGTCTTCTTGAGGCACCCATATCCTAGTCACCCTTCCAAATCTAGGTTAACCATTTTCTTATATTGTGAAATCTCACTTAAATGCAGCCATGGAGATACCTCCCACCTTCCACATACACAGAAATAGCATAAGGCCGGCATATGTTTCTACTTATTTTTTGTGTTTATGTCTTATCTTTCCAACCTGATGCTAAAAGAATTCTTAGAGACAGAGTTTTGTCTACATATCATTGGTACTAATGTGGTAAGGTTTTAGGTTGCTTAATTTGTCAGCAATCTTGTTTGTAAGTTAAAGAAACTTAATTCATTAACTCAAATAATGAAAAAGATTAAGGGATGGTGCTGGCAGAATATTTCATCATGTTTGGATCAGGTACCCAAATTTATCATCAGAAGTCTGGACTCTGGCCTTCTCTATTGACTTTGTCTTGGCCTTGCTCTCAGGTAGGAGCTCCTTAAATTGTGCCCGCTGCACATCTTAAAACAACTAGCAACAACAGATGTTGGCAAGCATGTGGAGAAAAAGGAACTCTCCTGCACTGCTGGTGGGAATGCAAACTAGTACAACCACTATGGAAAACTGCTAAACATGGAGCTTCCCTACGACCCAGCAATCCCACTCCTAGGTATCTACCCAAAGGACACAAAAACACTGATTCAAAAAGATACGTGCACCCCCATGTTTATTGCAGCTCTATTTACAATTGGAAAGACATGGAAGCAGCCCAAATGCCCAAAAGTAGATGACTGGATTAAAAAGATGTTGTACATATACACAATGGAATATTACTCAGCAACCAAAAAAAAAAAAAAGAAGAAAAACATGTCTTTTGCAGCAACTTGGATGGAGCTGGAAAAGATCATGCTTAGTGAGCTAAGTCAGAAAGAAAAGGAAAATTAAAATTACTGGATGGTTTCACTCATAGCAGGAGTATAATGGACCAGGAGAGAAAATAACAATAATAATAATGAACAGCTATATATCGGAGACATTTTATGGGGGTGGAGTGAGGAATGGTATCAACAACAGTGGGGGGAGGGAAATGCACTGGACTATGTTGATGGCACATGGGTGATTTGGTAATGGGAAGCCCATGGGGATAACAACTGAGATGAAAAATGCACAAAATGATGTAAAAATAAACTATTATATATATAAAAAAATTGTGCCCACTGGCAGTAGTGG